TTTCTGAAAATTGATGGAATTTTAAAAAGTATTAATAAAAAATAAAACCATTTTAATGAAAAAAATCCAATCTAAAATCTTAAATGCAAATTAATAATGGACGCAATATGAATGAAACTAAGCCATTCCCACACAATTTGAGAACGAAGCATTAATATTACTTCATTGTAAGTCTCTTATAATAAACAGCTTTCCAGAGATCCAAATGTATATTCATCACAATTAAGTGGAAAAGATATACATCTTTATCTTTATCTTTATTCAAATTTCTATACCGCCCTTCTCCTTTCGGACTCAGGGCGGTGAACAGCCAAAAAATAAAACATTTTATATACAAAAGTTAAAATAAATTTAAAATAATTAAATAAATTTGGCCCATTAATTTAAAACATTCCAATTAAAACCATATCAAAATTATTTAAAACCAATCATAAAATCAGGACAGCCCGGCTAACTGAAAAAAATAGATTTTGAGAGCCCGACGAAAAGTCCGGAGGTCTGGGATCACTCGTATCTCTGGGGGTAGATTGTTCCAGAGGGTGGGTGCTACCACAGAGAAGGCTCTCCCCCTGGGGGTCGCCAGCCGACATTGCCTGGCTGACGGCACCCTGAGGAGGCCCTCTCTGTGGGAGCGAACTGGCCGGTGGGAGGCAATTGGTGGCAGGAGGCGGTCCCGTAGATACCCCGGCCCTAAGCCATGGAGCGCTTTAAAGGTGATCACCAACACCTTGAAGCGCACCCGGAAGTCCACCGGGAGCCAATGTAGCTCGCGCAGGAGAGGAGTCACATGGGAGCACCCCGTCGCTCCCATAATCCCCCGCGCGGCTGCATTCTGCACCAGTTGGAGCCTCCGGGTGCACCCCAAGGGGAGCCCCATGTAGAGAGCGTTACAATAGTCCAGATGAGAGGTGACGAGTGCCTGAGTGACCGTGCGTAGGGAGTCCCGATCCAGAAAGGGGCGCAACTAGCGTATCAGGTGGACCTGATAGAAGGTCCCCCTGGCCATGGCCGTCGTATGCCCTTCTAAAGACAGCCGTGTGTCCAGGAGGACACCCAAGTTGTGAGCCCTTTCCATGGGGGCCAATGATTCGCCCCCAATAACCAGCGATGGCGCCAGCTGGCTATACCGGGACGCCGGCAGCCACAGCCACTCGATCTTGGAAGGGTTGAGTCGGAGCCTGTTTCTCCCCATCCAGACCCGCACGGCTTCCAAACACTGGGACATCACTTCCAAGGCATCGTTGGGATTGTCTGGGGTGGAGATGTACAGCTGAGTATCATCAGCGTACTGATGGAACTCCACCCCAAAACCACGGATGATCTCACCCAGCGGCTTCACATAAATGTTGAACAAGAGGGGCAAGAGGATTGACCCTTGTGGCACCCCACAAACAAGGTGCCTCGGGGTCGACCGCTGCCCCCGTCAACTCAGATTGCGACCGGTCAGAGAGATAGGAGGAGAACCACCGCAAAATGGTGCCCCCCACTACCAGTCCCTCCAGCCGGCGCAACATGATACCATGGTCGATGGTATCAAAAGCCGCTGAGAGATCTAACAGGACCAGGATAGAGGAATAACCCCTACCCCGAGCCCTCCAGAGATCATCCACCAATGCGACCAATGCCGTTTCCGTGCTATACCCAGGCCTGAAACCAGACTGGAGCGGATCCAAATAGACAGCTTCATCCAGGTACTGGGGAAGCTGTCGCGCCACCACACTCTCAACAACCTTCGCAATAAAACGAAGGTTGGAGACTGGACAATAGTTAGCCAAAACAGCAGGATCCAGGGAGGGCTTCTTGAGGAGGGGCCTCACAACCGCCTCTTTCAAAGCGGCCGGCAGGACACCCTCACTCAAAGAAGCGTTAATAATCCCCTGGAGCCAGTCTCGTGTAACCTCCCGGGAAGCCAGCACCAACCAGGAGGGACACGGGTCCAATAAACATGTGGTCGCGTTTAGCCGTCCCAAGATCCTGTCCACGTCCTCAGGAGCCACAGGATCGAACTCCTCCCAGATAACACTCTCAAGGCCTGCCTCAGTCATCTCGTCTGGACTAACCCAGTCAGCGGCCAAGTCTTCCCGAATCTGAGTTATTTTATCATACAGATACTGTACAAAATCCTCAGCTCGGCCCTGCAAGGGGTCATCCCGCGCTCCCAGATGGAGGAGGGAGCGGGTCACCCTAAACAGGGCGGCTGGGCGATTATCTGATGACGTGATAAGAGCGGCAAAATAATTAGATTTTGCCGCTTTTATCGCCACTAGGTAGGTCTTAATATGAGACCTTACCAGTGTCAAGTCAGATTCGGATCGGCTGGCCCTCCAACCGCTCTCTAGGCGTCTTTTCCGGCGCTTCATCTCCCTCAGCTCCTCAGAGAACCAAGGAGCTAAGTGAGTTCGGTGCCGGGTCAGAGGCCGCAAAGGCACGACACGGTCCAGAACCCCGGCAGCCGCACTATCCCAGGCAGCCACCAGGTCTTCAGCCGAGTCGTGAGCTAGGGTCTCAGAAAATGGCCCAAGCTCCCTCTGGAACCTATCAGGATCCATCAGGCGCCTGGGGCGGAACCACCTGGTCGGCTCCGCCTCCCTGCGACGGGGTGCGGCGTTCAGAAAGTCAAGTCGAAGGAGTGAGTGGTCAGACCATGACATGGGCTCGATGCCTATATCCCCTATATCAAGACCACTCAACCACTGACCAGAGATAAAAACTAAGTCCAGAGTGTGTCCACCCATGTGAGTAGGGCCGTGAATTACTTGAGTCAGGTCCATGGCCGTCATGGAAGCCATGAACTCCCGAGCTACCTCAGACATTTCACTGACAGATGGCAGGTTAAAATCCCCCATGACTAGAAGTCTGGGGGTATCAACCGCCACCTCGGCTATGACGTTGAGGAGTTCGGGCAGGGTTGTTGTCACGTGGCAGGGAGCCAGGTACGTGATCAACAAACCCATCTGCACCCCACAATCCCACTTCACAAAAAGGGAGTCACATCCGGCTATCTGAGGTACAGTGGTTTCCCTCGGATTGAGACCTTCCTTTAGAATGACCGCTACCCCCCCGCCCCTGCCCTGAGCTCTCGGCTGATGAAATGCACGGAAGCCTGGTGGGCACATATCCACGAGGGGAACCCCCCCTCATGGCCCAACCAGGTCTCCGTAATACCTGCCAGGTCCGCACCCCCCTCCTGAATAAGATCGCAAATGAGGGGGGCCTTATTTACTACGGATCTGGCATTACATAACAACAGCCGGAAACTCGGGCCCAGAGACTCTGAGCAACCTGGGGAACGGGAAGAGCTAAGGGGACCGGGGCATGCAATCGCTCGAAGATAGCGAGTGCGTGCCCCCGTCACATGATATGGCCCCCTGCTCCCGCCATATCTGCCCCTCCCACTCAGCGTATTGATAGGGAAGCCCTCGACAGAGGGTATTCTAATAGCCCTCTTTCCCCCAGAGTCCATATCCCCCGTGGCACCATTAACTGCCGGGCCAGTCCCCATCCCCTGTGGGTTACCCCCCAAACCCACGTAACCTTCCCACCCCCCAGAACCCCTTAAAAGTCTATTTAAAAGTGTCATCAAAAAACCCCTCAATCCCCTTTTTGCGACATGCCAAGATTTACATATATTTACATGCTAAATTTTATTGGAGGATGCCTTTGGTGAGAGGACACATATTTAAACTGGCAAATGTTCTTAAATTAGATTTTGCTTTTTTTTTTTTTGCTATATTAATGCAAATAAATTTTCAATCTTGTGAATTATGTGTTATGTTAGACAATCCATTACATTGGATTTTTATCTCCAGTATTTATTTTGTCCCAATCTTGGTGGCTCAGCATTGTACTGCAGCTGTTGTCCAGAACTAGGTTGATATCTGAGCCTTGAATATTACTTGAAGGGCAAATTATGCACATGGTTTCTCAATCTTGGCTGCTTGAAGATGTGTTGATATTTCCCTATATGGCTGACATGGGAATTCTAGAAGTTGAAGTCCACACATCCTCAGGCAAACAAGGTTGAAAAATGCTGTTTTAGAATGTCATGGTTTAGATATGATCAGAATATGAGTTTTTTGCTACATTACCAAATTCTCAAGTCATATAGTTCCATTTTTTATCTTCCCCTTTTACAAACGAGAAATCAGAAACAACCATACTGAAATAAATTATCATTATCCAGTGCCAGCCCTTGAAAATAGACAAGGCCTAGAAAGTGCCATAGCATGTGTTTTAAGAATACTCTTTTATTGTTTTTGAGTGGAATAACAGTATCTTGAAAGCCTGTCAAGACTTTTCTATCCAATATTAAATAAAAGCAAGGCAGAGAGTTTTTTTTTAAATTTATCTTATACTTTCCTCTTTCTCAGTATTAAATTTGAAGATTTCTTCAGTTTGCTTATTCCATCCCCATTCCAGGACTAGTCTATATTCTTTTACTCTGTTTCCATGTATAAATAACCGGTCTATTTAAAATGCCCTCTTATTCTTATACGAATAACAAAAAGGAAGAAATATATGATTTCCACTAAGGACATCAAATTATTAACTGACACATTTCTGCAGTTTTCTAAATTGTTTTGAACAACAATTATGAACAAATTGTCTTCTATCTAGAAGTGGACCATGGACTACAGTTATAACATTAAAATAAATGAAAAAAATCTTGAAAACAAAATTGTTTTTACTTTAACTAAAACAGTACAGTCTTGGATAATGTTAAATATTGTTTTACCTTGAGCACAAATTTATAAATAGATCCGCTATTTATTATTATTTCTAGTGCTATTATTATTACTATATTAATAGTACTGAAATATTGTTTTTATTTTTATTGCTTTTTAATTAATCAATTAATTAATTAATAACAAAAACCAAAGCAAAAATAGATATGGACATATATACATATACATGTATATACAAAAATACAGAGAAAGAAAGAAGAGAATACATAGAAAATGCTTTAACAAAAAAGTGAAAGAAAACACAACAAAGAAAAAAAAGATATATATGAAGTTTATTGTTATAATTATTTATTTTATTTCTATACCAACATTTCAAAATGACTCAGGGATGTTTACAGTAGAAATGAAATAATTTAAATGCATTTAAATAAAATATACACAAAGTTCATATTAAAAACCATTTAACACTATTAGCAATTATTAAATTATGAAACAGACAGATTTTGAGGCTTTCATAAAGACTCATGATATTTACAGTATTATGTGCTACAATCTACATGTAATGACTGAGAAAGAACAGTTTCAAGTCATCACCAGACAAAACCCCAATATCATTAACTATGTACAGATATATGGTTTTGTTGAATCCACAGCCATATCTTATCTGGCTTTTGCAAACCATTACATTTCTATTTTATGAAGTTTTATAAAAGATTTACTTGATTCATGAATAATAAAAAAAAAGAGCTGCAAAAGTCAAGCAATCTTTTAAAATCAGATTTAATTAGAAAAAAATGATTGTAAATTTAGTAAATAATTTCAAATATTTTGCAACATTTTTTAAAGATATTGTTGCATCTATTTTTATACATAGAATTTAAAAAGCTATATATTTTCCATTTTGGTCTACTGGATCTCAAGGAAGGAGAAATAATAAAGATCTGTATAGTTTGGAATAAAGTTTACCACTTTTCTTAAGTCAGAGTCTTTGAAAATTCATTTATAGCTTATTAATAATTATAATATTTTAATTTTGACAATGTTTGACTGAACATTTTCTCTCTTAGCCATTCTTTCTTTTCTCCTTCTCATTGGTCCTCACTTTCTTCCTTTCTCCATACCAGAGAAAACACAAAATATCAGGCCCTCTCTTGGAGAAATCAAGTGAATAAACTCATGTAAGAGTTATCAAACAGGAGATGCTGACCAAAACATATTTTGTGATATATAGATTTACCGTATTTCATGCTTCCTATTTTCTGTTAACCCATATGCTTATTTAGGACACAAAAGGGCAACCATAATATTATGCATATATTATTGAGATCATTAGGAACCATGTATGATTAGCAAACTTTGATACAATATATTTTTTCAATGAACTGGAGATTTTAATGTGTAACTATAATGTACATGCTTGTGGGAATTTATTCTCTTCCATAATTATGTTTCTTAATTTATCAAAGATTCTTTTTGGAGTCAATCTGATTCTTCACTGGATATTTTAAGAGATTAATAATTGAAAAAATTTACAAAAATAAATATTGGTAATTAATTTGGAATACAGAACTGGAGTTTCCCAATTCTTTCAAGGTAATAATCTTAGATCTTTAAAAATGAATATGTTTCTTATAAATATAAGGAGACTAATTTGTCAAAATGTCTTTTTAGACTCCTCAATAAATATTTAAAAAGAGTGTCTTTTTTTTTATATCAGGAATACAACAAATTTGTGATATGAGTGATTTAGACATATCCCATACAGATAGAAAAGTCTTAACTTTGTAAATATGATTTAGGAAAAAGATTTATGATTTCAATGTGTCATTAAATTATATTCCAAAAAACTGAATCTGTTTATCAGTGAAGAATATTGGGCTATAAAGCTTGGATTATTGCAGGAAAGATTCCTATGTCTGCTTGGAAAGAATATTATATACTCGATACTAAAGGCTAGGTTGAAAAAATGTTTGCATTCTTAGCTTCTTTATCATACAATCAAAAGACTGAACTGCTTAAAATTTAATTTGTTGTTTAAAATATGATTATATTTTACACAATATTATCTATCTTTTACGTCTTGTATATTGTTCTTCATTGCATTAAAAACAATGAAAAAAATAAGATAACAGAAAGAGATGAAGGTAGAGAAGTGTGGCATACATTATTTCATGAAAAGATATACTGATATATTTTAAATATCCATTGTTATTTTACCGGTGAAAATAAATTTATAAACATGCATATATATATTATGTACTCATCTTCATATACACTTAGGCACCCATCATATGTACACAGACAGACAGACTATATATATATATATCCTAATTAGTAGTTACAACAAAAACTTGCAATACAAAAACTGAACATAGAAATCTAGAATACAGAACATGAATAGCCAACCAAAAACTACAGTCCCAAGAAATATGAATTAAACTCCAAAGCCAACCTCATGTATTTGATATCAATTCATTCTGCACTAATGATAAATTTAGATTTTAAAATTTTGTTGTGATTTCCCCAACAAAAGGTACTATAATAAAATTAACTAATTTATTAATATCATTATTAATAAATAATGATATTTATTATTATTATTTATTATTATTATTTGTAAATTACAATACAATATAACATTTATTTTCCTATGATCAAGCAAGGACTAAGCTAATATCAATATCTGGAAGTTTCTATGATATTTTCTGAGTGCAGATTATAACTTATTTACAGTAATTGACTTGTAATGTTTGGCTTAGTTGTTCTTACAATGTCATGTAAGAAACATGACAATGATGGAAAATGGTAGTGTTCTGTCAGACTAGTGGTAGATACAAACAACAGATTTACATGAGAGACTGTACTAGCATAATTTGCTTCAAGTGATTTAAGTAGATTTTATACTAAGTAACCCAATTTTAAGATTCACATAATACTGAATTTTCAAGTGTAAAATCATACCAAAATCGTGCTAAATTGTCATTAACATCACAAGAGATCAATTGTTTTGAGAAATCATTACAGGTATCCTGTACTGCCAAAATATGTGGAGCAAGAGCAAAAGGTACATCATTTGGAAATTCCAACACAGAACTGCTTTCCATATTTTGACTTTTCTTTGCCTCCAGTTCAATGTCTGCTTCAGTCATCTTTGACTGGTTTTCTGAATTTGCCTAAGAAAATGGAAGAAAGAACAAAAAGATTTGCACTGAAACATTTCCCAGGTTCTCTTGTCTAGAATTTTGTTTCACAATGGCTAACCAGATACTTATGAGAAGACCATAAACAAGAGATGAATGCAAGTATGCTTCGTGTTCATATTTTGTGATAAATAACACTGAAAGGTCTATAACATTTACATGTTACTAGTAATATATATAGCATCATAATTAATAATTGGTAACTATATCTCCCATTAACTTTTCTTTTCCCCTTTAAACTTTGAAATGATACAAATATTTACAATAGTTTTTTATAGAATGAAATAAAACAAGAATGCTCATAAACATGCTATGATTATTAGTCTCTATGTAGAGCAAATATTAAATACTGATATCTATCCACTTCACTTAAAGATTGAACACCTTCTATGATTATTGAGGAAAAACACCAGAGAACAGTATACCTGAGGAAAAAAACAGAATACATCGGCTAAAAAGCACATTTTCACTAATATTTAAAGTGATAACATTGTTATATTGCTTTTAAGACCATCTACACGGAACCATCATTTTAAGAAAATTCTGATTTAAGGATAACAGAATATCTAAAGATTCCTGATAAAATATGATTCAATTCTATGCTGGCATTAAAGCACATTTATAAAGGTTTTTCCAAATAGCAGTTTTTAAAGCTAGTAACAGATTCCTGAGCCTGAGGGCTCTCTGGGAATATTTTTTTTGGTTCAGGGAGCATATAGTTGCCTTCTGTGAACAATGAACATTTTGGTGAGTGAAATGAAGTAGAGTAGAATAATCAATGGATTATTTTTCAGTTTCAATTAGCGATTAGAAACTTGGTGATGGCAGTTCAACAGGATTGGAGAAGATTATAGAGTGTAAAATAAGGTGACCAGATTTTAACATTAGTAAACCGGGACACCCACCATTTTGTGGGCGTGGCTTGGAGGTCATGTGACTGGGTGGGCGTGGCTAGCTGGTCATGTGACCGGGTGGCCATGGCTATGTGTATAGAAAAAAGTCATTTCTGACAGGTCCTCGCACTTTTGACTGGTCCTCACACTTATGACCATCCTCACATTTATGCCTGTGCAGTATTCTTAACAACCATGTCACTCATTTCACAACTGCTTCTCTTCACCATGGTGATAAGATAGGGCAAAAAACATAAAATGTGAGGATAGTTGTAAGTTTGAGGACTGGTCAAAAGTGCGAGGACCAATCAAAAATAACTTTTTCAGCCCTCTGAGTAGTCCATATGCACAAAAGGACTAACCAGAGGGCTGAAAAAAGTGATTTCTGACAGATCCTTGCACTTTTGACTGGTCCTCGCACTTATGACTGGTCATCATTTATGCCCATTGTAGCATTCTTAACAACCGTGTCACTCATTTCACAACTGCTTCTCTTCACCATGGTGATAAGAAGGGCAAAAAACATAAAATGTGAGGATAGTTGTAAGTTTGAGGACTGATCAAAAGTGCGAGGACCAGTCAAAAATAACTTTTTCAGCCCTCTGAGTAGTCCATATGCGTAAAAGGATACAGCAATAGAGAGGGATGAAGGAAGGGAAAGGAAATTAGAGTAGGAGTGAGGGTAAGAGAGGGAGGAAGAGAGGAGGAGAAGGAGAAAGGAAGAGGAAGTAGGGAGGAGAAGAAGAGGGGGGGAAGAGAAAGTAAGAAGGAAAGAAAAGAGAGAGATGGTAGGTTTGAGGAGAAAGATTGCTATACAAAAAAAAAGATGAAAGGGAAGAAAGCCAACCCCAAACAAATATAAAGATATTAAGATAAAGAATGAATTGTTAAACTTTAAAGAATAAAAGAGAACAAATATGAATAAATAGCAATAATTAGAAACACACATACAAACATACAATGTATTTTCTTTGAACAGAATATTTGGCTGGTTCACAAATTTAAACAGTGTTTAGTCATTTCAATTAAATTTACAATTTCTATATTTCCTTTTTGCTATATTTATTCCTCATCTATTTTTTTTAAAAACCAATATTACCCTTCATTCTCATCTCTAATCTTAATCAAATTCAATTTTTCCCTTCTATTCTATATTATATCCCTTCCATTGTCATCTATTTTTATATCCATCCTCACATTGGTTAATTATTTAATTATGTAATATAGTTGTTTAATACAAATTCAACATTTTAATATAAATCAATTAGTTATATAACTATCTTTTTTGTATATTAATCAATATCAACATGAATATTCCAATTATTTCCATGCAATCCAATTTCTTACAAATCAATTAATTATATTTACCAATAATAATAAACCAAATAATTTCTCCCATATATTCCTCCAAACCACAACTTAACCATTTCTGCTTTCAACACAATATACAATTAATAGTATCTCAATTATTACAATTCCCTAGTTAAATAGAGCTTTTTTTCTTTTGTGTTTTAAAATCTTGAACTCTCCTCTTTTGCCCTAAATTTTCCATTGTTTGCAGTTTTGCGCTTACCTTTTTGGGTGAGGAAAAAGAAAAAGAAATCTCTCTCTGCCTAATTTGGCACGTTGCAGCAGACCCTGCTTTACTTTCAGTTTCACTTTTTCAGCATAGTTAGGGGAAAAATATCTCCAGTTCTCTGCAGCTAGCAACTACAGAGCCCTGAGCAAAACAGCTGAGAGCAAATCAGCTGAGAGTCGGAAGCCGATCTAATCAATTTGTGCTAATTAACCTATGCTGAAGCTTTAAGGGGCTGTTTTTTTCTATTTTTGCAGGCATCGATTTACTCATTTGTTTTCTTTTAACACTGATCAGCTGTAGGGCGGCCCTTTGAAGCCCAGCGGCAAGAGTTTAAACAGTTTTTTTCCCTCTAGCAATCAACTGGGACTCAGGAGGCAGCCGGGAGCAACCCACCACTGCGCCGTTCCCTAGCTTGTCGTGCATTCTTTCCAAAAATCGGGACTTTTTTAAAACGCCGTAGGACAAATTGTTCAAAAGCGGGACTGTCCCGCCAAAAGCGGGACATCTGGTCACCTTAGTGTAAGAACTAATGTCTGAAGTTAGGGGAGAGAAAATAGGAAGTTGAAAGACAAAAATAATAAGAATAAATTGTTTGAAATAAGAGGATAAGAAATTGTGAAAGGTAGACTGAAGGAAAGGAACTGGAAGTGGCAAGGCTATTCCTTTATTTTAAAAAATTAGTATTATTACATGCCAGGAAACAATTTAAAATATGAATGTTCTTGAATTCAGATTAATCATGATAATGGTTTGTTTCATAATTAGTTAACAAATAACATAAATACTTTTTCTAGGCATATACAAAGTGCTTTTAAGGAGGAACTGCAGGATCAGGCAAGCAGATATATTTTGTCAAAGATTTATTAACTACTTGATAATATGTTTGACCCAATTATTGTGGGAATACTTTCCACAGTAGATAAAATGTTAAATTTAACATTAAAGATAAATATTCTTTGAGCCAAGTTTGATTCTAATGATATGGAACCACTCTTAATTTTAAAAATATTTTACAGTTGTTTAATAAGCTACATAAATTAAGAATAGTGTCTCTGATAATTTTATTTAAGCAACTAGTCTTCTTTTGTAAAATGTTTAATGTGTAATGGACAGTTTATCATATAATTAGAACCCTAATCTCACAATTTCTGAGAAGATTTAGCATGCCTATTGTCCTAATAAACAGAAGAATACTCTATGTCTATGCACTTCTGCTATAAATATTATTGTACTGTACTGACTGAAAAATATTATTCAGGTATTGATTGGTTATATCTATTCCCTTTGTATTTCCTCACTAACATATAGCATACATACAATAAAATAATATTTTGACTTGAATGTTGAATTTTGAACTGGTAATAAGTTCATGTCAATCATGAATAAATTAAATCCATTTTATTTATTAAATTTAATCAGTTTAAATAACAAAAGCTCAGTATCCAAAATATATTATTTCTAAAACTAAAAATTACAATTAGTTTGATGTGATGATTAAAACTGTCCTTGACTAGAAATCAGAAGATTTTGAATTCTAATCCTACTTTATGTGTTTATTTTATATTTATGTATATCATTTTCATAAAAACGACTCTAGGTTTTACTTGGATAGAAGCATAAAAATGAAAACACAAAAAGAAAACATACTGTATATACTCGAGTATAAGCCAAGTTTTTCAGCACATTTTTTATGCTGAAAAAAGCCCCCCTTGGTTTATACTCGAATGAGGAAAAAATGCCTTTTTTCCTGCAACCCATTTTGGCTTCCAGGGGCTGCAGGGAGGCTTGCTAAGACCAAAATGGGGCGGGGGGGTGCGGCGCCTCCCCCGTGCCCTGTTTTGGCTTCCAGGGGCTGCAGGGAGGCTTGCTAAAGCCAAAATGGGGCGTGGTGGGTGTGGCGCCCCCCGCACCCCGTTTTGGCTTCCAGGAGCTGCAGGGAGGCTTGCTAAGGCCAAAATGGGGCATGAGGGCGGTGCCTAGCAAGACTCCCTGCAGCCCCCTGGAAGCAAAAATGGGCTGCGGGGGTGGAGGTGGGTGGGGCTTCAAGGGAGAAACAAACAAAGAAACCCTCACTGTTTAGAGAGCTCCCCAGGTGCACTGACCTTGAATTGAGAGTTTATTGTAATAGGCTGGCTACTAGCTATCCTTGCTCAGGCTAAGCTAATCAATAGTAGAGCTCTAAGAATGCCAGATGAGAAGGAGAAAGGGAGGGAGAACTGTTTGCGGATCCCTATGTGCACTGAGCTTGAGTTGAGAGCTTATTGTAAGTGCCTGCACTAGCTATCCTTGCTCAGGGTAAGCCACAAAACGTTTCAAAACGTCTGGCTTTTCTTCCTCCTACCAAAGACTTTCTGGGGTTCTTCACAGAAAGGGAGAAAGGAGAAAGGGAGGGCGAAAGAAACAGAGAGATATAGAGAGAGAGAAGAAAGAAAGAGAAAAGAAAAAGAAAAAGGAAGGGAGAGAGAGAGAGAGAATGCAGGTATCTCTTAACAGAGGCTTGAACTTGCCTGAAATTAGATCAAGCTCTACATCACTTAACCCAATGTATCAGATTAAATTGTTATTGAATTATTTTGGTATATATACTACATTCTCTTGTGTAATTTAGTTATAGTGTAGTTTACACTATGCACTTTCAGAGCTAGTTTACTGTTTTTCTTTGAAATAAATATTCAAAAACATTTAACCTACTGATGCCTCAATTAATGTAATTTTATTGATATCTATTTTTATTTTGAAATTTACCAGTAGCTGCTGCATTTCCCACCCTAGGCTTATACTCGAGTCAATAAGTTTTCCCAGTTTTTTGTTGTAAAATTAGGTGCCTTGGCTTATATTCGGGTCAGCTTATACTCGAGTATATACAGGTAACAAACATCCTAAGCAGAAAAACAGAATAACAGAGACCAACTACTACATATTTTATTAAAGATCTTTCATTTTGGGAGAGGCTCATCTGATGTTCTTGTCCAATGTCCAGGAAAAGAACCAGATTTTGAGGGCCTTATTGAGAGCCAACAGGCCATCTGAATGTCAGGTGGGATGTTCTACTGGGCAGATGCTGCAAGAGAAGAAGCATTTCTCCTGCCAGGTAACATTGCTTTACCAAAGGGATCTTAAGCATGTCCACTATACCAGAACTCATAGCAGAGATCATTGGAAACAAGTGGTCTGGTTTATTTCTGGAAACAAATAATCTGGTTATTTCCGGTTAGCAATATAGTTAGTGTAGTTAGAAGCTACTGAAGCAAAAATATCAAGGTTGACATTGTTAAACATATTGCTTACCCTAACAGATTGGATGTATTAATCAGATAAATCACTACTATGAATCTTACCATTGCATTTGTCTTGATATCACTATAGTTAACCAATCATAATATCACTGAATAATTAATATATCAGTGTCTTCTTTCTCTTTCCATATATATTAAATTTTGAAGTCTTTAAAGCATATTTAAACTATTTAACCTAGCAGTAATTGAACTGCTTGCATATAACTGGGCTTTATACTGTTACAAATTTTAATACACAGAATAAATACATTATCTATAAATGTGATTTTACATATTAAATGTTACCTGTGATAATAACATTTTAAAGCACTATAAATGATAGTAATAGCAATACATGCACAATTTAAAAATAAATCTCACAACACGATTAATAACATTACTTAGTACAGTCATACAATAGCAGTGCAACACTTCACATTACAGGCAGGACTCTGGTTCAGTTGCCCGATATTGGCTGGAGCTGCCTGTTGATTCTCTAATTCTGAGTGGTTTATGACAGAAACATTATATTTAAAACCGTAACTAAGTAAAAAAGCAAATGTTGCTATTCAGCAATCCTTGTAATCAGTTATCTGGACTGAAATATCTAGACTACAGCAAAAAATTATTTTTCACTGCCTCTTTGCTGTCATATTTTGCAAACCAGACCTGTTAGCCCTAATTCAATCTCATATTTTTCAAAACAGCAGATAAGGGATTTCTGACCTGTGAAATAGGATCAAACTGAGCTCCTGTCACACATAGTGGAGGTTTATTTTCAGAATTATTTCTTTCTTCATTAATTGTATTACCTAGAAGATACAATGCAAGAAATATATATGTGCAGTATCACTCATGAATACTATTTTCTTTACACATTAATTTGTAAACTTTTTCTTCCATATCCTCCCACCAATTCTTAGTCACTGGGATGTTCTAAAAAAACCAACAACAACCATAGCTTAAGTAATGGAAGATAACCCAGTTTCACTAAACTTTTACCCCTCACAAGCTTATCTATAATGCCTATGCACATTTTAATCATAATAATCATAAAATGTTTCTTAATTTTCTTAAAAACAAGAATTATAAAGACCAAACGTATTATTCAAAAGATATGGTAATATGATTCAATGAAAGATCACAAAAGTTAACTAAATGAATCAAACTGTTCCAAAATAATGAGAAATGTCCTGACAGGATAGATCAAGCAATTTTACATTTCACAATGAGGAATGTATTTCTGAAGAGTTTAAATATCTCTCAACCTCTATCACATACATGCAAGCAAGCAAATGATATGGAGAAGAAGTAACAGCTACTTCTGCCATTTTTGTGCCAGAAACAGTTTTGCTATATCCTGCATTTCTTTTAGGCCTGCTAATTTTACCTTGTGGCTTTAGAGCTGACTTTAGAGCTGAGACTGTTAGGTGTTGATGTAATTGATATTCCTGCTCTGAGAATCTCTAGCTCCCAATGTCATTCATATAATCAGGAAGGGAGAACTGCTGCAGCTTATAAGAATTCTTTTTCTCTCTCATCTTGTTGCCTATTGAAGTAGCAATCTATCCATTTTTTTTTAAAAAAATATATTATCCTTTATGGGTGGTCTTCAACTTAGAATTGTAATTGAGACCAAAATTATAAACATAAGTCATGCCAGTCATTAAGTTGGTCGTCACATGACCAACCCAATTTTATGACATTTTTTTTCTGGCAATCATTGTTCACAACAGGTGTGTTTTCCCACAAAAAATATCATAAATTGTGATTGTGTGACAGTGGAACACTGCGAATGGTCATGAATGTGGGCCGGTTGCTGAGTGCCCAAACTGTGATCACATGACCACAAGTAAGGAAGGAACAGCACTGGAACTTTGAATCCAGGTTGTAAGTAACTTCTTTGAGATTCACTGTAATTTCAAACAGTCACTAAGTGAGGATTATCTGTATTTACTAGATGCTTTGAGGGTACAATTTACCACATTTCTTGTCATTTAAAATGTTCAGTTTTGACAATTCAGTCTGCAGAAATATTGCGAGTCCAGACATCAGTTTTTAATATTTGATTGATTGAATAGGTGGCTGGTCATGTTCAGCCAACAATGTATTTGCCTGATGATTTTATCTCATGGTTGATCACATTAAGTGGGAAGCTTCTAAATTCCTCCCTACATGAAAGATTATTCACAGATATAGAATAAAATGCATCCGTGGGCTAATGACACCAAGTTCTATTTCTCCTTTTCACTGGCTCGGGTGCAATTGTTGAGCCATTGTCTCCTTGCAGTAATGGACTAGATAAAAGCCCAATTCAGACAAGAGAGGCTCTACCAGTGAATGGCATATGCCCAGGTGACTGGAATTCAACCTATTCTGGATAGTATTGTATTTCTCATGAAGGATCATACTTACAGCTTGGAGGTACTACCTTGATTCATTGTTGATTTTTCAGGCACAAATGGCCTCTGTGGCATAAAGCATCTTCATTAGCTGAGGCTGATGCACCAATTATAGTTATGATTGGATAATGATTCCCTCCTACAGTGATCCATGCTCTGATTAACTCTTCTTGAAGCTATGCAATATGTTATATAACGGCCCTTGCCTATGATTTGAAAATTTCAGTTGGTAGAAAATGCCCCAGTGAATCATACTGACTAGGAAGAGGCAATACAAATACATCATGCCAGTTCTATGACCTTCATTGACTGCCAATTGGTTTCAAGCCCCATATTTAAAATAGTTTGGGATCACGCTATCTAACAGAACATTTCTTCCCATATATTTGTACTTATACCATAATACTTTTGGAGGGCATGATCCAGGCATTCTCCCATGCTAAAATGTGGTAAATGACTATGTAAAGGCAGCTTTTTCAGTGGTAGTTCCTTGTTTATGGATGCTCTCACCAGGGTGGATTTGATTTAAATCATGATTTAAATCACTAGTAAAAAGGCTTGATTTAAATCAACTGGCTAGGTGGCTCAGTGGCTAAGATGCTGAGCTTGTTGATCAGAAAGGTCAGCAGTTCGAATCCCTAGTATAGGTCTCCTGTGTGAGTAGGGGTTGGACTAGATGACCTCCAAGGTACCTTCCAACTCTGTTACTGTTAAATCATAATGTTTAAAGAGCAACTGTCATCTCTGTCCCATAGTGGCTCCTCCTCTGACTGGCTGTTGACTCACCAACAGTCCCAATGTTGCAGAATATACAGCCTCATGCTACATAACTAAGCTCTACTTCATGCTGAATAAACTAAATTATTAATGTATCTTAAATAGAAAGCTATCTTTAGATAGATTTTTACTCCAAAAGCATTTTATTAAAATAAATTTAATAAAAATTTTTTAAAAATCTGATTTAAAAATAATAAACAATTTTTATCCACCCTGGCTCTCACCAACAAGATACATCTGTGGACATCTTTATTGTTCTCTCTGGTACTAGGCATTCCTATTCTCTCAAGACATTTAAACAAAACATTAATGTTGCTATAATTTATAGTTCACATTACTATTTCACTATCTTTTACTATTTTGTTTTTTAATAGTGTATTTTATTTAATATTTTAATATATATTTCAATCAAGGATTTAAATTACTTGAATTGAGTTCTGTTCGTTGTTTTTTAAATGGTAAGAACTATACAAATGTTTTAAATCAGAGGTAGGGAGCTATAGCCCTTTTACAACTTGAAGACTTCAACTCCCATAATGCTTGAACTCCCATAATGCTTGAACTTTAACATGGAAGTTAAAGTTCTCAAATCATATAAGGACTAATTCCCACACCCCTATTTTAAATAAATAAAACATGTAAGTGTAATAACCTGATTCATTAAATATTTCTTGAAGACAATACTAGGCCATGTGAATGAAATAATGGTCTTATTAAGAAACTGGTTTTCTACTGTTCAGTTTAAAACCTATATATGTCACAAAAAATTTCATTGTCACAATTATGTATCAGATAGTGAAGTGCAGTTCTTTGGATTCTTTTCTAAAAAGTGTAGGTGAAGGGACATATAACTTGATTGCTTTTTCTTAACAGTCACATCTTTTCTTCGGCTCTTGAGCCAGTACATGTTTTATCTTTAATTTGTACAAAAATTATTTTTGGCATGATGAAAGCAAAACAGATTAACATCTTCAAAGGATGGAGTGCACAGGATGTTCTCTGAACTGTCACAATGATCCTCCTGAAGGAAAACAAAAGCTTATGCCTATCTAATAAATGCAGCCAGTACTGACTTTTATTGGACATTTCTGCCTTAATCGGAAGTCCAATCAATTTTTTAAAAAAGACATATCAGTTCTCTCAATACAGCCCAGGTGAAAGCAAAAAATATCTAAAATGTTACCTTTTATACCTTCTCTAACTTGTCTTCTCAGGACCAGAGATGTCAATATATTTCTACAAAAATTACTTTAAAAGGGGGGGATATGCTCAGCTTCTACTCAGATCATCTCTAGTAGATTCTACAACTTTTTATTACAGGCTTACGAAAAGTATTATGTTATTACAGTATTGCACATGGTAGCAAATATTAAAATTGAACATATTTTCACAGAAAATTTACAAAACTGGTATATGTTCAGGCTACAGTTGTTTCTATTTTGTTTTATTAATTATTGCTACTGTGCAATATATATATGTAATATAAGGCTTTTATGGACAATAGGAAGGCTTTAAAAATAAACATAAAATACTACTTATATGCTTAAATACTATTTAAATCAAGAACATTATACTTTTTTAAAAAATAAAATGAATATGTTTCTACTTTGATTCTGAGCTCCAAAGTATGTGAAGTATGGATCCACAAAATGTGAAATATAAGATATAATTGCTTTTGCTTATGCCTTTTAATAAAATTTAACTGGAAAAGGTATAATTAAATTTCTTCTAATTTTTGGCATCCTCATAAAAGTAATCACAATTTGGCCTAAGATATTTTAGGTTCTTTATTCTGCCATAAATATTTTCTCATTAATTTATTTATCTTTATGATATAGCTATGAAATTAACATTGGAGTCCCTTTGAAACATATACTAATCTCCATTAATATTTATGTAAATAAACTTAATCTTACCCCAAAGTCTTACAACTTGCAATCAAAATATGGATGTGAAAATTCACTGTTAAGTGGTACAATTGTTAAGTGAGGCATCATTTGACTATCCCCAATTTTTCTTCCTGCAGCTTCGCACTGTTCTGCTAGAACTTCTTGGGTAACTGGGACATTGGTATTGCACTATTGGGACTTCTTGGAGTTTGATGGTTTTGTACTATGTGACCATGGCTGAGGGTTCCAAAGTGCCCATGGCTTCCAATTATAATTCAGAGACTTACTGCAGTCCCAAAGTTATAGCATACCAAGAAGTTCCTGAGCTACAGGATGGCAAGCAACTGCAAAGCCAGGCAAGATGAAGGGTGGCCAAAAGTGCAGAGGGGCGGGAAGATAGCAGGTATGAGGAACTGGTGGCAGTACCTTACCTTACCAAGGCTCAGAGGTGGGAGGGGGCCAAGCCTGGAATTACTTGGATTGGGGTGAATGGCCAGATTGCCAGCTTTCTCTCTGACTCCCAATATTCCTATCTAATAAGAAGAATATTCAAATCATTCTGAATATAACAGCCCCAATTAAAATTTTGCTGCTGTCAATGCTTGATACGATTCATCTGTGAGGTGTCTAGCATAAAATAACAATAAATACTTAACCATCTGTTTCAACTGTTTAAAATTGGAATCTCTAAGCCTACGTTTTGCTGAAGCAAAAGAAAAAAGGAATCCCCTAATAAATGCCTTA